GGGAAAAAAACAACGCTGCTTCTGACTCCCCAGAAAATTGCTGCTAGTTTATTTATTCTATTTGTTCTTGGCAATTCTGCTCTCCTGCTAAAGGTCAGAAGAAGCCATGAAGAAGAGAAGCGGCTGGATCCTAACTGTTTCTAGAAAAAAAAATCACGAGTATTGGTAAAATTACTAATAAACACATTTATTATTAGCAGAAGTAGCTTTTTACATGGTCAGCCATCAAGTATTTTGAATGGATAGCTGCTACTTAACTTAGAGGCTTCTGTTTTTCAGAGGCTACAATATGCATTGTTTTTTTGTTCCACGCTGCACCAGACAAATTTGATAAAGGAGGAGATGGTTGAAAACTGAGTCCTAGGAATGTTGCCTGTTGGGTGCCAAGCACAGCAGGGTGTTGTTGTTCCTAGTTTTGCATGTAGTGGCATCAACTCTAGACCAGCCAGCTTGCAATTCTAACTTAAATTGGCTTTTGAAGAAAATAGTTGGGAAGACAAACATCCCAGTGTCATGTGATGCTCAGGGGAATATCCCGCCCTTCTCCGAAAGGAGAAGGGCGGGATATAAATACAATAAATAAATAAATAAATAAATAAATAAATAAATATCTGATGAATCTTTTTCAAGCGAGAACAAAAAGAAATAAAACGTTCCTTACAAGAATTTATTTATTTATTTATGGGTCCGTCCGTATCTCACACAGATATGAGATTGAACGCTGTACCTCGATGTAAAACAAAAATCCAAGTACAGTTAGGAATAGTAACCCAGTAATAGATGATTGGGAAGAATTTTGTATAGTGTGATCTATTCACTGTGCCTTTTTAGGTTGGATTGTTTTGAATCTGTTTTTCCAGTAATGGTCGGAAGACCTTCCTATATTTATTCATCCTAGCTACAGGATTATTATTCTTGCTTTTGAATGCAGGTAGCCCTTGATTTACAACCAATCGTTTAGTGACAGGCTCAACAGCACTGAAAAAAGTGACTTATGACAGTTTTTCACACTTAACCGCAATTGCGGCATCCCCATGGTCACGTGATCAGAATTCGGGCCCTTGGCAAGTAGCATGTACTTAAGATAGTTGCGCTGTCCTGGGGTCCCCATTTGCAACCTTCCCAGCTGGCTTCCGATAAGCAAAGTCAATGGGGGAAGAAGCCAAATTTGCGTAACAACTGCTTGTTTCACTTAACAGCTGGAGTAATTAGCTTAACAACTGTGGCAAAAAGGTCACAAAAGGGGGCAAAACTCTCTTAACAGCTACCTTGCTTAGCAGTGGAAATTTGGGGCTCAATTGTAGTCCTAACCTGAGGGCCACCTGTAAGGTCTTTTATGAGAAAAATCTTGGAAGTTACACGGCTCTCTCGCTGGAACTTAAATTCAGTCTATTCAAGGGATGGTCCACGGTGGGATTTTCAGGGCTCTATAAGGCGACCACATCCTAGCCCTGTGGATTGTTATGGTGGGAAAGAAAGGGGGCACCCAGATGATGAGAATCACATCCTGACATCTGGCAGGGACATGATAGTTGGATATTTATCCATTGTCTCCGTTTTCGGAGCTCCGCTGGGATTTGGTTAATTGGTTGTTTATTTTACACTAGCAAGTTCCATTGAGAAGCAGGGCATTATCTGCCCATGTATTATGTAGGAGATGTTCATGCAGAGCTTTGGACAAGTAAAAGATAATTTGTCCTGCTGTTTCCTATCTGGGCTACAGAAAGCATTTCCCATATATGATGATGTTATCCATTAA